ATTCGTGTTGATACGGGCGGGACTTTTTCTCCTTTTCGATTCAAACAGAGCCACAAGTCGTGGGGTCCTTGTTGAAGGACTGTCTTGCCCCATTTGTCTTGGCAATGATCAAATCTCTCCAAGCAAAGGGCAGACACGTATCAATATGGAATTCAAGGCTATAACAAGAACATCAATGTTTATGTCCTCCCATTAATAGCACGCGTAGACCTTGTTCTCGGAATGGAATTGCTTTGAGCCAATGAGGTCATCCTTGACTTCCAACACAACGCAGTAACTTTCACTACAAACGGTGTTGTGGTTCGGTGGCATGTTCAAGGGGAGGTAAACATCGATGATGTCTCACATTCCGATTGCCCTGACATCGAGTTCGCCCTAGTGAATCAATTTGGGCAAGATGCAAAATCAGCTGATACACTTTTTGTTGTACAGTTAGAGGAAACCACGCAATCGTCTCCTGACATCGAGGATCTTCCTCCTCAGATGAAGGCTCTGGCGGAGAAATTCAATGAGGTTTTTGAACCGATTCCTGATATATATATACCTATATACACATATATATATATATATTGGTAGAATGCGTATGTACTATGACTCTCAGAATCCCAGCCACTAGACCACTGGGATAAAATGGCTTGTTAAGTAGCGGATCAGTGCGCCCATAACCCCCCAAGACAACGAGCCTGTAACCCTTCCCTAGGATCAATCGGGGATCACCAGTGGACTTCTGACACCCCCCCGCACTGGGATGCCCGAAGTGCACACACTGGGATTCGAACCCGAGACCTTCGCTCCGGATACCATCTCAGAATCCCAGCCACTAGACCACTGGGATAAAAGGGCTTGTTAAGTAGCGGGTCAGTGCGCCCATAACCCCCCAGGACAACGAGCCTGTAACCCTTCTCTAGGATCAATCGGGGATCACCAGTGGACTTCTGACAATGACCAATGCAATTATAATCATAGTCGTAACTGTATTCTGGGAGAGGACCGGCCCCTCAGCCGCAACAATGGTGCTCCTCTCCTACCTGCTTCTAAGGGGGATGGTAGAAAGTCATCCTTTCACATGGCCTTCTCTACTGGCGTGCATATCTTGTTCACTGCCACTCTCTCGTCCCTTGCCAGCCCCCGCCATGGGTCCCGTGGCACCTTTGCTGCCTCGTCGCGGTCGACCTTCTTTGACCTTTCTGCCATGTAGACTCGCGCATGTCTCATGAAATCACAGATCACCGCCCTCGCCACTTTTTTCCTTTGAAACCTCTCATTCCTGTATACCATATCCACCCTGGTCAACCAGATGCGCCGCATCGTCACCGCCGTCAGCGTAGCCCCCGGAAAACCTGTTTTTGTGGCTCCCTCCTGGAACAGCATGTCTCCGAGCGAACGAAACTGCACCCTCGGGTCAGTCATCTGGAGCGAGCTGAGCAGCGCGCCGACAACTGGCTAAATCACCGGGCAGGTCATGGTGCAATGTGCTAGGGTTTCAAGGGCTCCGCAGTGTGGACAAATGCCTCTGGGACCCAAGAACACCGATCGTCCTCCGACTTGTAGGTTCTTACTGTGCATCCTGAGCACCATATCTCTCGCCTTGTATGGGATGACCAGGGAGTCGCCTCTGCAGCACGGCTTTCCAACCAATCTTCCTTCCCCGGTCTTCTTCCCACTCTCCCCTCCTCCTTGAGGCTGTCGCCGGGCCCGTATATATTTTCCGTATCACTCCGAGCACCGCAGGTCTCATGTCCTCGCCGACCAACTCCGTTAGGCACAGCTTCGCCCGTAGGTCGCCCATCACACCCAGGACGGTTCCTCCTTTGACCACCACCGGCACTACATCCTTAACCGGGAATTTCACCGCAATGGAACTTGGTGGGGTGATCAGGTTTGAGCCGTCCGCACATCTCAGGTCATCTGTCGCCACCTTTCCATCACTGCTGACACCGCGCACCGTCCAGTACATGCTCTCCTGCGTGCGCTGCAGCATTGTGCGTACGACCTTAGCTGCTGCCACCAGTGTCGCCGATGTCCTCGGTTCCGCCCGTATGGTTTTCTGTTCCTTTGGTGCTGCCTCATATGCCTTCGTTGCCCATCTCGCCGACGCCACGCTCCCGAACTCCTCCGTCCGCTTCTTTATCCCCTTTATCCCTCTGCCCCCGTCTTCTTTTGTTTCAAGCAGGTCCCCGATCCTCGTCGCCAGAATTGCCGACGTCCCCTTCTGGTTCCCGAAAGGACTGTTGCTCCGAAACATGATGCGGCGGTTGAAACACATGAGCTCCTGCTCCACCTCCCATCCATTTCTCGGCGCGGGAGGTCGGCGTACAGCGATCCCTAGAAAACCTCAGCCACCGCCTTCCATCTATGGTTGCCTTTCTCCCTGTGCTTGCTCGCAGATTTGTGGGCATACAACGTCGCCATGCCCTGTGGTATCACCGCCGCCTTCTCCCCGAGGCACTTCTTCGTAACGCTTTTTTCCGTCAGTAGCTTCCTTGCCATCCGGATCGCCAGACTGTCCAGCTGGGCCTTCGTAACTGGTTTTTGATGGACTCCTTCCAGACCGTGTTGTGGGTCATACCATTCCTGTGGAGCCTGGAAAGGTACCACCGTTTAAACCTATGTATCACCCCAGCCCAGCTGAGTATGATGAGGCTAAGCAACAAATCGAAGATTATCTGAAAAAGGGATGGATCGAACTAAGTGCATCACCATATGGAGCACCAATCTTGTCTGTTAACAAGAAGGACGGAGGTCTACGCATGTGCGCTGACTTAAACATCACAATCAAGAACTGATATCCTTTGCCTCGCATTGAGGATCTGTTTGATCTTCTCCAGGGTGCCCAATGGTTTAGCGCATTGGACCTCGCACAGGGGTACCACCAATTGCGCATCACCAACGACGATGTACCCAAAACAACGTTTAGCACGTCGTTCAAGCATTTTCAATCGCGTGTGCTGAGCTTCGGTCTTTGCAGAGGGCGATGAATGACGTCTTTTGTGAGGCAATTGGTCAGTTCGTTGGTTTATCTCGACGATATATTGGTGTATTTCAAGACTGAAAGGGAGAACACAGAACACATGAAATGGGTGTTAAAAAGGTTACGAAAGCATAAGTTTTACGCTCACTCGTGGAAGTGTCAAATCTATCAACGCAAGTTAGAATACTTGGGACATCTCGTGGGGAACAGTGGATTGAAATTCGAGCACAAGAAAGTGGCGACCGTTCCATAGGACGTGGGACAAGTCCGGTCCTTTTTGGGCTTAGCCAATTATTTTTGCTGTTTCTTGGAGAATTGTTCAACCATCGTTGCCCCATTGACTGCACGTATACGAAACGTTGCTGTGTGTGAATGGACCAGACAATGCCAAGAGGCATTTGATGCGGTCAACCGAAAGTTGACCAACGCTCATGTACTGGTCTTACTAGATCCAACAAAACTCTACGAGGTCGCAACAGATGCCTCGACAGTAGGGATTGGTGCAGTCCTCCTACAGGAAAAACGCCCTGTGGCATATGAGAGTTGGAAGCTCTCCCTGACAGAGCAGCGCTATACGACTTCCGAACAGGAACTGTTGGCAGTCGTCCATGCGGTACGAACATGGCGATGCTATCTAGAGGTTGTGGAATTTGTTGTCACCACTGACCATTGTCCAAACACCTTTCAGTCACTCGTCGCCAAGCCCGATGGGCTGAACTCCTTAGCGGATTAACCTATGATATTCGATACCGGGCAGGTTCGACGAATATGGCTGACCCTTTCAGGAGACGTACGTAGGGGCAGTCAACGGGCTTGAGGACACTGAACATGCTGCCGTCTTTGCGGCTTACTTTGGTATCTTCGCCATTGCTCGAGTGAGTGAGATTACCTTAAGTGATTTTCTGAAACAAATCCGCATAGGCTACCAGATTGATTCCTGGTTTCAGAACCCGCATAATTCGAACGATATCTCGTGGGAGCATGAGCTCTGGTGGCATGGAGAACATTGTAGTACCACATGTGGGGAGCCTGCGGAATGACATCTTACGAGAAGTGCATGCTAGAAAATATAGTGGAAACCTCGGAGCTAAGAAAACCCGATGGGCATTCTCTGACGTATACTGGTGGCCAGGGTTGTGCAATGAAGTCCAGCAGTTTGTAACACGTAGCGACACGTGTGCACGTAACAAACCGAGCACACAAAAACCCGGTGCTTTGCTTCATCCGCTCGAAATCCCTGATGAACATTAGGAGAGTGTATCAATGGATTTCATAACTAATCTCCCCAAAACACGAGACAGTCATACAGCGATCCTCGTCTTTGTGGACCATTTGACCAAGATGGTGCACTTCATGCCTACAACCACTAACGTATCATCGGAAGATATGGCCAAGTTGTTTGTTGCACATGTTTTCCATTTACATGGCTTGCCCCGTGTGCTAGTGTCTGACCGGGACCCTCGTTTTACAAGCCGCTTCTGGCAGGAGGTCAGTCGGACACTAGAGACGAAGCTGAAAATGTCGTCTGCATTCCACCCTCAAACGGATTGAGAGACCGAGCGCACAAATCGCACTCCTGAGCAAACGATTCGTTCGTTTATTGGCCCAGTACAAGATGATTGGGATGAGTTGTTGCCAGTCGTGGAATTTGCTGTCAACAACTCGTTGCATAAGAGCACCAACGAAAAACCTTTCATCTAACATTGTGGTCGGCACCCCACAACACCTGCCACGCACGGGGTCAGTGGCTTGAAAATCCCAGCCGCTAAGGACTTTATTGGCAAGCAACAGGAGGCGCTTAAAGCCCGAGTACAACATGGTATATTTCAAGTCCAAGATTCTTGAACTTGAAGTCGCAAAAAAATAGGGTAACCCTCTTTAGTTTGAAACTCAACTCGCAACCCCGGGAAAACCTCTTGCGACCCTCACTCCTGATTGGTTTCAGTGACCAGTCGCACGACAGACCCGTCCATCGCCCACAATATTGCCTGGATCACCTCTCACATATCTTGAAGACCAAGTAGTACTTCTAGGCCACTATGACACACGTAACTAGGAAACGGGCGGCTGGGCGACAAAAGCACCCTCAAGGGTAGGCGTTTTTTTCGGCCAACACTAGTCCCTCACGCTGTCTGTCCAATCGCTGCGTAGCACAACTGCCTGCCAAACTCGCCCGCACCGTGCCTCTTTTGAATGCCAGACACGGTACATCCGTGCTAGTGCCCCACACGCGCAAGGCTCCCGAAAATGGCATGAGTTGCCACACTCACTGCTTGTAGGATGTCGTGTGCGCTTTGCCCACGTGAGACTCGCGGAAAAGCGATTCCCGTGCTTCATCACGTCGCCCACACTTGCTCGAGTCACGATATATACTACTCGTCGCCCTCACTTCCTTTCGTCGCCCGCGCTTCCCACCGTCCAGCGCTTCTCCAGGTTGCCCGCGCGTGCTCCTCCTTGACGCCCGCGCGCGCTTCTCCTTGACGCCCGCGCGTGCTTCGCCTGTTTGCCCGCGCGCGATTTTCCACGTCGCCCTCGCGCGCTTCTTCTCGTCGCCCGCGCGCGGTTCAGATCGTCGCCCGCGCGATTTTATCCTCGTCGCCCCCGCCACTTGATTTCGCGCGCGCTTCTCCTCGTCGCCTCCGCCTCTGTATTTTGCGCAAGCGTCACCGTACCCGCCTGCATCCCCGCCTCCGTCCACCCTCCATCTCTTCCTCCCTCCCATCTATCCCTCTCCCCTCGCTTCCTATACCTCTCGCTCTCTCTTACACTCCCATCTCCCTCGCTCTCTCTTTCTCTTCTGCCTCTTTCGATCTCTCTGCACTCCTTCCTTCCCACCTTCTCTCTCTTTCCTCGCCCTTCCCACGGACAGATGGGGAAGGACACGGGGGTGAGGTTGAAGGACAGAGGGGGAGAAACAGATGGGGGAGGCACCGGGTGGAGGACAGAAGGGGAGAGACAGAGGGTGCAGGACACAGGGGGAGAGACAGGGGGTGCAGGACACAGGGGGAGAGACAGAGGGTGCAGGACACAAGGGGAGAGACAGAGGGTGCAGGACACAGGGGGAGAGACAGAGGGTGCAGGACACAGGGGGAGAGACAGAGGGTGCAGGACACAAGGGGAAAGACAGAGGGTGCAGGACACAGGGGGAGAGACAGAGGGTGCAGGACACAGGGGGAGAGACAGAGGGTGCAGGACACAGGGGGAGAGACAGAGGGGGAATGTCACAGGGGGAGAGATAGAGGGGGAAGGAGACAGGGAGAGAGACAGAAGGGGAAGGACAGAGGGGGAGATACAGAGGGGGGAGGACATAGGGAAGGACCTCAAAGAGGTGAGCGCCACGCACCAGCTGAGCCTTCGCTTTCCCCATATGCCCCTCCTCTCCCTCGATCTCACCATCTTTCCTGTCCCACCCCATGTACCTTCCTCTGGCATCTGCCCCCATTCCCCCCATCCTATCCCTTGTGACCCCTTATCCCCTGCCCTGTTTCCCCCATCCTATCCCTTGTGACTCCTTATCCCCTGCCCTGTTTCCCCCATCCTATCCCTTGTGACCCCTTATCCCCTGCCCTGTTTCCCCCCCTCCCCTTCCCTGCTTCCCCCCCCATCCCCTTCCCTGCTTCCCCCCCTGCCCTTCGTTGCCATTCCTCCATGATGCGATCAACCAAAGCCCAATCCATTTTAGTCAAGATGCGCTCCTTGGATCCACGCCTGATCCTCGTCACCTGTCGGACTCTAGTGCGATAGGCGGTCACCAGGCGATCCATGCCGTGATTCCAATGAAGAACCGCGAGACCGACTCGTGCCGGGAAGCTGCCCTGGAACCGTATCCGCTTAGGTGCGTATTTGATGATCAAAGAATGGAAAGACTCGTTGGGAGAACTCGACGCGCCATGCACAAACGACTTCACCTTCTCAGGGCCTAAGTGCTTGGAGAACCATGCACAAACCGCCTTGTTTGTCGATGACCCAAACTCATATATGGCATGGTCCTTGCCCCACCCCTCTCTGACGCAGCGAGGTGGGGTCTCTCCTACCCCAGTGCAGCCGGAGTGGTCACCGGCCCAGTGGTTGGGTGGGCTCCCAAGCTCCCTCGACACGTCGGCCGGGGTCATAGGATGCCCCTCTTTCTTTTCGAACCACATCGCACCATCACGTGATAGAAATGAGAGGATAAGCATTGTGCCACAGTTTGGTCCTCCTTGCCAGAATCGATCTGATCTTCACCTCATTTCCGCTTTCGGTGACCAGTCCACCGAGGTAGTGTCTCGGGCTCGCTGTACGCATTAGGGTTCTGCACTTCGGTATCAGCCCCGACTCCATCTAGCGCATCTGTGAATGTCAGAAAATGAAAGACGAAAACTAAGTATAGAGTAGCACTTGAATCAAGCATGCCCAAAACTTGGGAAGGGGTGTATGCATACCAGTCTCCGTGTCGGTGTTGGCCCAAGGAGTGGATCCACCGATGAAATGGGAGTTTCCGTTCGCGCCCGCGTGCGCAAGCATGATGAGGGTGCTCGCCAAAGATGTCGGTCGCGCACCCTGCGTCGGGTGCACATCATAACTCCATAGCTCCTCCACGTCTTCCCACTGAACGTCAACGTTCCGCTCCTTCGGTGTCGGCATGTCCACGGCAGCCCGCTCAGCTCGCTCATCCCGCTCCCGCACATCCGCATCAGAAGTACCAGGCACCTCACCGTAGGTCACAGGCACCTCCACCGGGCTACACTCCCCCCCCATCCGCACCACCTTTCTTAGCTCGGGAAACTTCCATTTCGCCTCTTCCGGGGTCATCTTCCTGTAAACAATCGTGCCCATGGCTTTACAAACGGCTTCCACCAAGTCCCCTTTCAGTGAAGCTTTCGACTCTTTCTCCAACCCCCGTGCTGTCAGCCATTGCCGTAGCCCATCGATAGTCGCAAGCCATAGATCCTCAATACAGGTCGCCTTGTCCACAGCCACTGGTGCACGGACCACATCCTGAAGTTCTTTAAGAAACAACTTGTAAAGAGTCCGCTTCACATGCCACCAGTCCACCTGGTGGTTCAACCCCCTTTCGGACGCTGCCCCACGAAAAGTAGTCCCTTGGTCGGAGATGATCCCTTCCACCGTAAACCCTTTCTGCGCCAGTTCATCTAACCCTTTATCGAAAGCCACCCTTTCCAGCCGCACCGAAGAAGTGTCGTCCACCCCTTTCCGTGTCGTCGCACAGTACATTATCTTTCTGGACGGCAAATCTAAAAACGATACTGTACACCACTCTCCCTCACGAACATGTGACCATCGACCATCGACCACTACATATTCTGTAGGGATTTCTCGCTTCATCATCTCTTCTCGTACCGCAGCCATAGACTTATCAGCCTCTCTCAGTATAGCATTCCATAACCCATTATCATCACCAAGGTACTTGTAAAAGGTGCCCTTCCCTGGTGCTGGCAAGCCGAAGTTGCGACAAAACACCCACATTTGCTGATACCCCATTCCGGCTAAAGCAAATGCCCCGACAAATCTCGACTGTAGAATCGGAGAACGCGCGCCTACACCGGTTCGTGCTCTCTCGATACGCCGGCTCGGACATGACCAAAACTCTACACCATGCGAACACGCGTCGCATCTCCAAAACATGCCGACCGATGCCCATGAGAACTTCCATGACCTCAATGTCATCCCCTCACTACACGCCCGCTCATGTGAACACACCAATCGACACCCTTGGAAGAACCCAACCAACTGTCGAGGCTCGACAAGACATACCCGTTGTCCATCGATGTCATCCACGCTCGGAGCAGAAGGCCAGTGCCTAGGGACACTCCCACGCGCAACTGCCTATTGGTGGCTGTTGGCAGGCCTAGTGGACATAAAAGGGAGGGGAGTTTGGACATGGATACAACGACGTGTTTGATAGTGCACAATGACATTTTGCCATATTTAGCCACCGCACCCACTAGTCTCACCCTCGCACTGGCCGTTCTGGAGTCGTGGTCACACTCCGTGCGGGCGCAGCCACAACAGTATCTCCAAGCGCTCCGGAAACGCCCTCATCAGCATCCATGCCCACAGTGCCTACGGCTGGCGCATCTGGCAGTTCGGTCCCCTTGACGTTGCCACTCCCTCCATGGTTGGCCCCTGAAACGTATTGGGAGTGTGGGTGGGACGTCGTTTATTACTCACGTCCAAAACAAGCCAACTTCAGATGCATCTTCCAAATCTTACCGGAATTACGCGTCGCTGCAAATGCCGCGCCACGCCTGGCGCCTCCCCATTATCGACCGGAAACCTGTCGCAGTCTTCCGCGCGCATCATACTGCACCAGTGGGAAGGAGTATCTAAGCCCGGCCAGCACTCGATTGGGCCGTTGTTGCAGGGCTACTACATCCTCCATAGTTCCTTTCGCGCGTTCTTTGAAGATGCGACCGTACTCTTTTCGATGTCTTTCCACAATCGCGCCGGTATGAGTGTCGTTTGAAGCAGGATCTGTGAGGCAGAGAATGTGCCAACATGTGAAACATTTCACGGGTGTAGGACATTCGACAGAAAGACAACCAGCACCGCATATCATGCACACTTCACACGCCCGCCCAATCCTTGTGTCATACCTGCTGCTAGGCCCGCCTCAATAAGTCGGTTGGTCGCTTGGGGTGCTGACTCCGCCAAAAAGTGAATCACATCATCCGTCGTCGCCATCGTGTCCCCAAGGTACAATGCCGAGAGCCCGACGCGGAGAACACACAGAAGTGGCCACATGTGACCGAAATATTGACTGTTCCTCTCTGGGCATCCTTACATGCCTCTATTGCAGGATGCCCTCCCGCACCTACACCAACCTGTGCCATCTGAAAACATGTCAGCACATACCCCAAGGAGAGGAAAAAGATGGGTGGTTAGGGGGTTGGCATGGCAGGGACAAGGTTTAGGGCATCTTTAGATGTCTGCAGAAATGTGCAAATGCACGTCAAGCAGCACCGAGCGGTGAGTGCACGCAATAGAGAAAGGGCCCAAAGCACCAGCAACTCTAGTTGCTGCTGCCTTGGGACATAACTCAGGGCCCAAAGCACCAGGTGGGTGCATGGTGATTCCACCAAGACCAAGGCAACAGCAACTCTGATTGCTGCTGCGTTGGGACATAAGCCGTGGGTGCATTGTGCTGAAACCAGGCCCAAGGCAGCAGCAACTCTGGTTGTTGCTGCCTGTGGACTGAACACGTGGGTGCATGGTGCTGAAACCAGGCCCAAGGCAGCAGCATCTCTGGTTGCTGCTGCCTTGGGCCAGAACAGGTGGGTTTACAGTGGTGAAAGCAAGCCCAAGGCAGCAGCATCCAGAGTTGCTGCTGCCTTGGGACTGAACAGGTGGGTGCATGGTGCTGAAACCAGGCCCAAGGTAGCAGCATCTCTGGTTGCTGCTGCCTTGGGCCAGAACAGGTGGGTTTACAGTGGTGAAAGAAAGCCCAAGGCAGCAGCATCCAGAGTTGCTGCTGCCTTGGGACTGAACAGGTGGGTTTACAGTGGTGAAAGCAAGCCCAAGGCAGCAGCATCCAGAATTGCTGCTGCCTGGGGACTGAACAGGTGGGTGCATGCTGCTGAAACCAGGCCCAAGGCAGCAGCATCCAGAGATGCTGCTGCCTTGGGACAGAACAGGTGGGTTTACCGTGGTGAAAGCAAGCCCAAGGCAGCAGCAACTCTGGCTGTTGCTGCCTGGGGACTGAACAGGTGGGGGCATGGTGCTGAAACCAGGCCCAAGGCAGCAGCATCTCTGGTTGCTGCTGCCTTGGGACAGAACAGGTGGGTTTACAGTGGTGAAAGCAAGCCAAACGCAGCGGCAACTCTGGTTGTTGCTGCCTTGGGACTGAACAGGTGGGTGCATGGTGCTGAAACCAGGCCCAAGGCAGCAGCATCGGATGCTGCTGCCTTGGGACAGAACAGGTGGGTTTACAGTGGTGAAAGCAAGCCCAAGGCAGCAGCAACTCTGGTTGTTGCTGCCTGGGGACTGAACAGGTGGGGGCATGGTGCTGAAACCAGGCCCAAGGCAGCAGCATCTCTGGTTGCTGCTGCCTTGGGACAGAACAGGTGGGTTTACAGTGGTGAAAGCAAGCCCAAGGCAGCAGCTGTCCTGGTTGCAGCTGTGTGCCTTTGCCTCGTGACACGTGAGCGTGATAGGACCCCCAAGGCAGCAGCGACCATTGTCGCTGTACTATAGTCGCAGTAGCAGGGAATTGGGCACTCACCTGGGCTATCCTCTCGAGCGAGCCGCAGGGGCGTGTGCTGCCCCTTGCTCCCCGTCAGTGCGCAGTATCCGCTTTAGTTGTGCGCGCGGTGGTCGTAGCCACTAAACCCTGGAGGGCGCGCTTCTCATCGCCAGGAATGCGGGCTCCGCGTCTTTTGGAACGCGGGCTCCGCGTCGTCTGGAACGCGGGCTCCGCGTCGTCTGGAACGCGGACTCCGCGTCGTCTTGAACGCGGACTCCGCGTCGTCTGGAACGCAGACTCCGCGTCGTCTAGAACGCGGACTCCGCGTCGCCGGGAATGTGGGCTCCGCGTCGTCTGGAACGCGGACTCCGCGTCGCCGGGAACGTGGGCTACGCGTCGACTGGAGGGCGGGATCCGATCCGCCTGAAATGCGGGATCCGCGTCGCGAGGAATGCGGGCTCCGCGTCGCACAGAACGCGAGCAGCTAAATGCGGCGAGCGGGTGCTGCTCGGCGCTTGGTGCGCGAGCCGAATCTCGTCCGCTTTCTTCCCCCTGGCTAGTCACAACGACTCGAATACACTCCCGGTTTCTTGTTGTGCCTAGCTACCCGTAGTCTCCAGTCTGTCATCACGGCCTTCTTCCCGTAAGTGCAATCGCGCTTGCACGTTCCTACACTTTGCTGTTGCCAGCTCCTGCGATGGTCGGTAAGCTAGTAATCTGGGGTAAGGATCGTCTCGAACACGTTTCTGTTGTGGCGTTCCAAAAGTGGCTGGTGTTGCGGAGATAACTACTACAACGGAAGCTAGACTACGGGCTAGGCACGGGTGCTCGTCTGATCTCTGCGTTCGTTGGTCCTTAGTCGTTTTCCTAGTGCACACACTGCTTGCTAGTTCACGGGGCAAGTTGGCAAGAGTTTCACTAGAGAAAGTTGACAACAATGGTACAAAGAAGTTGGCATGGCAAGACTACATCAGAGCTAGCATTCAGGTCGGTCGACTGCCAGCGCAGCATGGTCGACCGCGTTCCAGCACGACTTGGTCGACCGCGCTCCAGCGGTGCAAAGTCGACGGCGTGCCAACGCTGCAAATTGACGGCGTGCCAGCGTTGCTTCCGCAGTATAGCATCGCACCAGCTTCGCAGGTGCTCGCAGATAATTGGCGCGCTGAGCCTCGTCACCTGCACAGCGCACACACCAAGTCTACCTGGCGCTGACGACTGCATCTGATTAGCCATGTCGACCTCGGGATACCACCACCGAGGTCGGACTCGCCAACTTCGCCTGGGTGATCGTCGCACTCCTCCGCAGAACCTCGTCACCCAGGTAACCTGGTCGACCGGGCAACCACGTCGACCGGCTGCTCCTGTATGTGCTCGTCGACCTCCCAAGTCGACGACCAGCCCATGTCGACCTCACCAGGTCGACCACTCCCCCGGTCGACCAGCTCCAGGTCGACGTCACTCCTGGTCGACCAGCTCCACGTCGACCAGCACTCCTGGTCGACCAGCTCCACGACGACCAGTGCAGTTGTCAGCCGACCACCCAAGTCGACTACCCGAAGTCGGCGTCACTAAGTTGACGCCCAGCTACTCGACGCCCAACTGCTCGGCGTCCTAAGTCGAGGTCGACGTCGGCCCCTCCTTCGTCGACCACCTGGTCAGGTCGACCACCAGCAAGTCGACCAACCACCAGGTCGACCAGCAGTCCTGTCAGCCGACCAACCAAGTCGGCTGCCCCAAGTTTAAGTCACCAAGTTGACGTCCTCCGCAGGTCGACCTCCCAGGTCGACCTCCCGGAAGTCGGCGCCATCCTGAAGTCGGCGCCCATGCAGTGGCTCCCGTGCAGGTCGACCTCCTCATCAACCAGCTCGCCCACTGCTACAAGTCGGCTGCTCCCCTCACAACCGACCATGAAGTCGGCTCCGCCCAAGCGAGGACGGGGCCAACGCACAACTCCCGTTGACACTCCCCTGCCGCGTTCACGCTTAGGCCCCCAGCCAACACGGCAGTACTCCTCGGAGAATAGCTCGTCGAC